ATATCATTGGCGGTTCATTCTCAGTACCGTCCGTTATCAGGACAACGGTGCCACCTGTTGGATCAGCGCCATTACTTTCTAAGATCTATGATGAATTATAAAAAAAGACAATAACTATGTGAAACGTGTTTCAACGCTAATTTATATTTACGTCGTTTTTATGGCGTCATGGTCAATCCGTTTTTTGCTCATAAAACGTTGATACCCAAACATAAACATGAGTTTTAAACTTTAACGCTAACTATGTTTTGTATTCAAGTTCGTTCCATGAAAAAAAACACATGTATATTGATTGTACTTACCAACACAGCCATCCTCGGGTACTTTATTTATCATATGGGCAATTGTGATATCCACGGATTCGAATCGCGAAATATAATTCTACTTAAAATTTGACGAAAAGATGTTCTGTGGAAACAGTCACTGGCTCAATTCGCCAATGTGTGATATTATATTTATATCGAAAACTAAAATCGCGTTTTCTAACTAACTAAACATCAATTTGGACCGATCATCAGTGATATTAATTGACCAATTACAATACAATACCACCACTTACCGAAGGTCATTTTAACCTATATAATCTTATGTGTTTATTAGAAGTTTTGGTTGTTTCTATGTAATAAACGTTATTTCTATATAATAAACGTTGTTTCTATGTAATAAACGTTGTCTCGGTTTCCCCATTTTACTGGTAGTGTCTGTTTTTTTGTCTTTTATAACTGGTAGTGTCTGTTTGATGATTGTCGTAAAATTGTCTTCGAAAAAACTGTTTTTTTTATGTGCGCATCAAACATTGTTGCCAAATTTAACATATATGTTCAAATTTACTCAGTACGTTACCAAGAATCACATAATGTTTAACATTCACTCGTTCAAGATGTATTTAATGCCAGTAATTCAAATCAATTTGTATGATGTTTCACACTTAATACCCACATCTATTTGTGTGTTCCATACCAATAACACTCGCTCACTTTCTCGATGTTAGTTTCGTGATATTGTTGCCGATGTTGAGCGCTTATGATGATACGTAAATTAGCGTCTAAATTCGAAGATAACGTGTGTTGATATTTTTCGCGCGCTACGCTCCTGCTCATTATAAATTCTCTCATTACCACGCATATCTTCAATACTAGCCGCGAATAGCCTCTAAATATAATGCAAGAACAACGTTTAGTACATGATGAACCATAATTTAATTTATTCATCAACTTACAGCAGCATACAACTCTATCAGACGTTCCATGTACAATGCGAGAATCGCACTACTATGCTTGACCAAAACGTGCCTTTAATTTATTTTTAAAATGACATACCAATATTTTATCTCAGTGTTCCCTGAGAATGTTAAATGTAAGTTGACTACTGTAAACAGTATACTAGAGTATAGCACATAACTCCCTGTTTTTTTACTAATAGATATAGACACGTGTTTACCTGCATAGCTGCTAAGAGTCCGCTGCCAATACTGGTCCTTCCATATACAAAGGAAGGCAGTTGATCGATAAGTGCCAGGCGGTCATCGTCACCCGTAATGAACACACTGTTAGCCACAACGTGTGCCTGCGTACTGAAATGTACGATGGACACAGTAGTACCCGATGCGATAGACTGAATATATAGCTGACATGCAGCCCTTAGCTGACTCACTCTGCTACCCTACAATCAAAGGATAACAATAACATTGTCTGGATAATGTTAATTCGTACGCGTGTTTGGCACGCACACATCTTAAATATATTAACTTCGCTATTTTTAGTAGCCCACAGTACAATATAATAATTTGAATATTTACGGTAACCCGAACTATTGTTTTAGTGGTAATTCAGTAAGAACATCAGAATGTATTTAACACAAACACTTATACATATTGTTATTTACAGATGAGAACTGGCCATTAATATCAACCCTTTAGTTTGCGTTGGTGAGATGATTTGACAGAAGATAAATTGTAATTTGTCAGATATGAATGACATGCCGACCTGTCATCAAGCGCCATAAAAATTGGTGTGACATTGTAAATTTTAGGCAATGCTGTTTCTGTGCTGTATGTCATCGTTTTTAACAAAACAATATAAAAAGACCAACACAAATTACTCGAAGACCAAACGAACGACAGTTGAGTCAAAGCAAAACTTGATACGTCGAAAAAAAGCCGCAACTAACATGATGTTCCCTGATTGGTCAGTCTGACTGTTAGGTGTTATGGTAGGGTAGCCAATCAGGTAAAGTCTTGTAAGTAACTTTGCATTGAAGCGGGACGACACAATCCTAACTAACGTTACCATCATTGATTGCACACAATATAAACAACTGAAAATAAAGCAACTAACCAACATACTTCCAGATATATCCAATACAAGAACCAATGTCGCTGTCCTTGCTCTCACAACTCTGAATTGAGGTGCTGTAATCTCGACATCACTAGCTGGGTTATCTTTAAAATCGCTGTGATCGAGAATAACATCCCATGTACTGCGGTGATTGCATATATTGTTTTGATTAGACGGCGACTCGTCGTTATGGTAACCATTGACGTCACTTTCATTACTGTGACAAAACATGTTGACCTACACATTGAGATAAAATTACATGACGTTCACAAAGAAAAAAGAATATAAATAAAATGTGACACATGTTTGTCACAGTACGATCTGGGCGAAACGGTACAGTCAAGGAATATAGCACGGGAACATAAACTACAAGTTTACATGAGACTAGATAATCCATTGTTATCAGTTACCTCAGGGATTGGTTATCATTTATTGTAGCTACATCCAAACAATAGTATATTTCTAACTAATAAACATAGTCAAATTAATCTCCAACTTTTCCATCTAGCCAAGCTAATGTTCAATTTATTTAGCCCTGTAAACGACATCTCAAATTAAATAGCCAAGTCAATCCATTTCTCAAATTATTCAGTATACAATTAACCTACTTCCTACAAAGCCTTACCTATATTTTACCGCTAACTGCAGAATAAATCAAGAAAACTACACAAATTGACTCCATTTATGAATAATTAACGGTTGCCCGAAATCATGGCACAGTTGGAGGCGTGGCCTGTTCAGAATTTGTCAAGAACCAATCACAAGACTGGTTACAGTCGTAAACTCGGTGTGGTTCGTAACCAGTCTTATGATTGGTTGTCAACACATATAGCTTTGGCGAAATTTGAAAGAGCAACTAATATTCCTCAAGTTGGTACTTTTTATAGATTTTATTTTACATTCTTTCGTCTGTTTTTTTAGTTTTAAAAATATAGGCTCACTGGAGCCTTCTTTCCTTGTCTATTTCTTACACTAGATA